GGCTCCTGACAAAAAAAAAAAAAAAAAAAAAAAAAAGAACAGCTCTAAAGTTTGTCTGTAACCCATGTTTGTGCTTCGTTTTTCTTTCTTTGGGAGGTCATTCATACCACTTTGTCCACCAGGGGGCAGTGGTGTTTACAGCCCAGCCCAGCCCCTGAGGTGATGCCTAACCTCCCGATTGTTGTTTTGTTGTTCCTATGACATCAGTGCATTATTGTTTTTTTTAAAAAAAAATTTCTGGAGATCTTTGCTTGAATTGCCCTCAGGAGCATTAGCAGCTCCTGCGCTCTCCATCTCAAAGGGGCAGGAGAGTGGGGGAGGGAGGGGGGTCTATGTTGCCCTCATTTATTACTTCCCAACAAAAGCGGTGAACAAAGTGAGAACAGCCAATTTAGCTATGTTTATTGCACATTAAAATGACTGCGGAGCACAGGCGTAATAGAGAAATGAATATAAGAGCGTAAGAAAAAAAAATCACCACAGGGCCTCAGCTGAATGTAAGTAATTAGTGTTTGTAGTTTAACTTTATTCTGTCCTCTGGAGATGTTGTTCAGGCTCATCTAGGAAAGACTTTATCTACATTTCCTCCCTCTTCAACAATGTGCTACAGGAATTTTTTTTAATGCCAAGTCTGAAATAAACCAGACTTCATTTGTCACTACATGGAGTCTTGTTCCCGTCATAAGGACTGTTTCTTTTACTCCTGTGTCCTCATTACCTCACAGGCCATAGAAGGGTTAGTGGAAAGGTTCTGAGGGAGAGTTTGTCATTTCAACAATTACAAATGACAATTACAAACTAATTTTAATCTTGAACATAAACCTAACCCAGTCTTGGTTTTAATCCCAAATCCAAACTTAAACTTCAAAATATCATCTTTACCCCTTATTTCACTGTCATTGTCTGCAATGTCATGTGACCTTACGGACAATGGTGCCCACAACAGATGCACCTCCCCCAGCCCCCTTATTCTAACCTTTGCTATTACAACTACATGCCTAATCCTAATCTTTACCTTTACTGCAACTGAACACAATTCAGATCTTAACTCCAAACTAAACCTTGAACTTCAGAACACTCTCTCACTCAGTGGGCATTGGCAAAATGTCTCACCAGCACAGCCATACCAGGTACACATAGAAACACACACACGCAGACTAAGTAAATGGCATGTATTAGCTATAATTTAATCAGGCTGGAACAGTGTCTAGACTGCGGGTGGTTGTGATAACAGCGTCGTGGACGGCTCCTCGGAGAGAGCTCCTCATGTGGATTCAGGAGATCTCCCAGCGGGCGCCTCTTTTGTTGGTGGAGAATGAGTTCTGATAAGCAGGGCACGGGAAAAAAAGACAAGTCCTTTGAGAATGAGGGTGTGGAGATGGCGGCGGCGGCAGAGGAAGACAAAGGCTGTTAAATTTAACTGCCGAGGGCATAAAGCCGCACTCCAGCTTTGATTGATTTCTTCCCCAAACTTGATGATGTTTCAGCTTTCACAGCTTGTAAAGAGACCGCCTTCTTTTTCTCACTCTGCTCCTTTATCACTGTGTGTGTGTGTGTGTGTGTGTCCAGTCTTTGTCTAACAAACACATGAATTTGACCCCTTACGCTTGTGTTAAAAGCTTTTATTCATGATGAAATTCCATGGTTCAACAGTAACTCTGTCTAAAAACACTGAACGTATATTTGCGGTAGTTGAAGATATATTTGCAGTAGTTGAACATATATTTGCGGTAGTTGAAGATATATTTGC